AAAGTTACCCAATGAAGGCTTGTTTGGAAGAAGTATAGTCACGCTTTCCTTCGTGTGATCAAATCCCCAAATCATCATTTCATACAAAAAAAAAAAAGCCAATAAATTGGGATTCAAATTCGAACCTGTAAAAATCAGTAGTATTTTCTCGTTGCTTCTTTCTCCTCCATTCTCTTTAGTGGGGTTGTGTGTATGTTTAATGTGTGAGATTTAAGAAGCAGAAAAGAGCAACGCCATCAAAAAAGTTAACTAAGCGCCAGGTAATGTTGTTTATTTTTCATTCGATTGTTCATGAAAAAAAATTGTTTTTTATTCCCTATATGGAGTATAGAACGTTTGGATAATCCATTATTCTTTATAGAAGTGTTTTAGGCTAATGATACCAAAAAAAAATGTCATGTCTCTGAACTTTCTTATAGATCAATATGATCTTCAGACTTCAGACTGGATTTAGCCACTTTTAAGTTTAAATAACTGTGATGAAATTTTAGAAAGGAGATAATAATTCACTAAAATTTGGGGGACGGATTCATCATTATGAAAATGCAGTGACCTTTACTATTTCTGAGCGTAGGGGGGTAAAATAACATTTTATTTTTCATGTTTAACGACACTTGTTTCTGTAAATCATCTACTTGTTTTCTTAGTGACTGATTTGAATGTTAGTTTTGTGTAATGCCTTGAATGCGTGGCTCTGCTGTTCTGTTTGGTATAGTAATCGTCGATTTGAAAACCCAATGAACTCTTAATTAGCAAAAAGCTTGAACAATAAACTGCATAACAGTTCACAAAATAAGCATAAATTATCTGTGAGCAAAATTAATATTATTTATAGGGTGAGTCTCATACTAGTCTTAGAGTAATAGGAAGTGTAACAACTGAAACCTTGACCTAAGTCCAGTAAGGTAGGGTACACTAGATGAAATGCAACGGTGACCAGACACCATAAAATTTGTATCGTCATTAAGAACATATCTGGTTGGTGGCTAATTTCAATTTAATTTCCAAAACCAGAGTTTGACCTCCTAGTGTATTCTGCAACTAGTTGTGCTAGAGATGAAGATTTTTCCTTAAGAAGTTTCTTAGGCGAATCATATTCTTCTATCAACCCTGCAGGATCAATATGAAGAGAAATCATATTCACATTTATCATGAGAAGAAAAGGAAAAATATTGACAAATCAAGAAGGAAGCTAAATGATGCTGCATTTCACGACAAAAGTGATTATTCCTTGGATAAAGACTAAATTAGCATGAGGAAAGACACAAAGTGATGCACACCTTGATTTAAGAATAGAACCATGTCACTGTCGATGATATAAGTTATCCTATGAGCAATGGTAATGACTGTGCATTCTGAAAAATGTTGCTTAACTGTTTGCTGAATAATATTATCTGTGGCTGTGTCAACAGATGCAGTAGCTTCATCAAGCACCAAGATCTTGCTTTTCTTCAGGAGAACACGGCCTAGGCAGACCAACTGCCTTTGACCCATACTCCAATTTTCTCCATTCTCAGTCACTGCAAAAACTCATAGCGATAAGTAACACTTCCTTACTACATTTAGACATATAATTGAAACATGCTAAATCATTATTCAAAGTTTTGAGAAGTCAAACCTATGGAGTCCAGCTTCCCTTCTTTTTTCCTTACATCATCTCCAAGTTGGCACATATCTAGAGCCTGGAATGTTTCTTATTAGAATTTATCATGTATTACCTGCACTAAATAGACAAGTTTCTCATAGTTTCAAACAAAACCAAATTACCTCCCAAATCTGTTCATCTGTGTACTCTTCCAGTGGATCCAGGTTGGTTCTTATAGTCCCTTCAAACATCGTTGGATCTTGAGGAATAATGCTGAGTCTAGACCGCAAATCATGAATTCCAATCAAAGATATGTTTATGTTATCTATTAATATTTTTCCATCCATAGGTTCAATAAGGCGGAGAAGTGTTTGCACAAGAGTTGATTTTCCACTTCCTGTTCTTCCCACAATACCAGTTTTTGATCCAGCAGTAAAAGTGCAAGTAAGACCTCGTAAAACAATAGGCAAATGAGGAGCATATCGAACCTGCATCACAGACATTCTCAATAAGGGTATATTCCATACAAAAACCGGAATTGGCTTTAACCAAGAAAATGTTACCGAAGCCTTCAATTCAGAATATAACAAATGAATAATCTTTGAAATGTACCTGCCAATTCCAGATATGAACCTCTCCAAATGATGGCCAAGAACAATCCGGTTGGTTAGTCTTTACTCACAAGAGGAGCTTCACTTGGGAGGGATGTGTACTGGAGTATTCTCTCAAACAGATATAATTTTTGTTCTCAAGTCGCAAAAGAAACCAGATTACTTTAGTTTGCACACAGTATTTAGATTAAGTCCATATGTCACAGCCAATCCCGCATGCCTTGGAAAAAAAACAAAATTGGAATCGAAAGATGAATGAAGTGGTTTGCTCAGTGTCATTAAAGAGTAACATATTCAGAGAATTTATGTCCTTTGAAGTACTCACCAGAGCAGTCATTGATTTGGGAAAGATACCAAGAATACAAACAGAAGGCAAAATATGACAGTGGATAAAATATCCAATCGGAAATTTAGCCATTCAATTGCAGTGGCGCTGTAAAGTTTGGGTTGGGAATATCTGTCTATCAACTTCATGTTTATGTCATTAAATCTTGATTCTTGTTCAAAACTTCTTATGGTTGTTGATCCAGAAAATTGTTGCGAAAAAATGTTGTATAACCGGAGCTTGGCATGTACCAACCAATCGTGCCAATTCTCTTGCAGATGCAGAATAGTACCGCTACATTCATCGAATCTCTTTGTTAGCATTTACATTGGTAATCTTTGCACAATGATATCAATCAGATTCATATTTTTCTTCCCTTAACTTCTTAGAAATGTGAAAAATTAAGTGCATTTCAAATACTAAATCAATTAGAAGGAAAACTTTTCTGACAGCTGGAGTTAAGAGTCTTCAAATTATAAAGGTTGGATATTATCCAAAACTACCTGGTACCATATGCTAGCTGCCATGACAGGTATCAATACTATGAACACCTGCCATGCAGCTTGAGACATCACAATAACATTTCCCAATAGTTGAACCAGATTGAGGGTAATTGCCCATAATATGTTTGCAATATACATATCTAGCGAGCTTTGGTCTATTGAAGCCTGCAACAAATAGAAAAACTATGATTTAGTCAACGATTACATTCAATATGGTAATTTGAAAAGGAAAATCAAAGGAAGTCTAACTTTCGAAAACAATGCAATCAGCCATTTACTTCAGCTAAAAAAGTCTCTTCAAATTAAGCGAATGAAGAATATCAACACAAACTGACATACTCTGTTGAGTATTCGACCACTTGGGGTGGAATCAAAAAATGATATTGGTGCTCGAAAAATACACAAATGCATTTTATCGAAGAGTACAGTGGCTGTCTTGTATCCAGATATCCAGCACTAAATGATCTGGCAAAGGGTGATGTGAATGACAATGGAATTCCAATGCCAAAGCGACATAGACACCATGATGTAAAGTTCCAATATCAGTTCTGATGTGTGTAAAGGAGTTGCTACCGTTCATCCAATAATTGCTTGCAATCTGAAAACCCACAGTGAGTATCTGCGAAAGTAATATGAAGGGCACAAGAGCTCCTCCATAAGCTGTTGAGATGTATTTCCGTACACTTTAAACCCAACTCTACCCTTTTCTCGTTCTTCTTCTTGAACGAGTTGTCCTTTGGGCTCAACTGTGTCGTTTGGCTTATCATTTTCAACATGTATGTCTTCCACATTTGCTCAAGTTCAAAATCACTTAACGAATTTGTTTTCTCATCGGTGGTACTTGATGCTTTAAATGTTGGTCTTCTCTCTAAAGACTTAATTGAAGACAAAGCTGCTCTGTGTGCACCTACAAGTTCCATAAAATCTGTGCCTGTCTTGAGAATGTCATTGTATTTTCCTGATTGAGTTATCCTTCCTTCTCTCATGACCTAGATAAAGTTGTGACCAAGACAAAAATTCAGAGAAAATAGTCAATTGACCAAATGCAGATGTTTCAATTCTTGAATATGTATGATTCAATCACTCACCAATATTAGATCAGCAATCAGGTAAGAACTCTTACTTGATGTGTTACGTATATCACAGTTTTGATTTTTAAAAGGCCAAGCAAGCATTCCTGAAACAGTGTAGTGTAATGAAAAATCAAGCCAAATTATGTTTGACATATGTTGGTGTATCCATGAACTCACATGCTGCTCGACATTGCAGAGATTAGATACAGAAAACTCCACTGCGAATTTTTATACTCAAATCTGGAGAACTCTAACCAGTTTAAGGGAAAAAAACTATTGAACAGTATATGTAAGGAACTGAATAGATGTAAAGTGTTAAAAAAGATTGAACGACTGTAACGAGTATTTGGAAGTTTAAAATTACATTACCAAGAAAAAAAAAATAGATTACACAGAAAATTATTAGTTTAGAAAAATATAGACCTTAAGAGATGGATCCTGTATGAGCATCAACGGCACTGAAGGGATCATCAAAAAAGATATATATCAGCATCTTGATATAGAGCACGAGCTATTTGCACTCTTTGCTTCTGACCACCACTCAAATTGATTCCTTTCTCCCCAATAATGGTGTGATCACCGAATGGTAGAACCTCAAGGTCTTTTGTCAAGGAACATGCTTCTAGCACCTTCTCATACTTTTCAATGTCCATCTCTTTACCAAATAGTATGTTGCTTCTATCTTTCCACTCTGTATCCATGGCGATTGAGAAACATAAGCCTTTGTTCCACATATTTTCAATGTCCCAGATATCTTTGGTACTTCCCCTATAATACAAGAAAGTAAACTAGACTTGCCTGATCCAACAGTACCACATACAGCTACTCTCATACCATGATAAACATTGAGATTTATGTTTTTCAATGTTGCATTAGGAGAACATAAATCCCACGAGAATAAGGACAGAGTCCCACATGCAAAAGGTTAAAGGTAGGCTATTATCAGAGAAACGAAAGATGGAAGAGGCTGAAGAGAGAAGAAAGGCCAGGGAGGCCAAGAGATTGGCTAAAGAGATTCAGGCTCAGAAACTAAAAGAAAGGGCTAAGCAGAAAAAGCAAGATATAGAATCTGTTAAGAAATGGAGGAAGCAGAGGCAACAAAGTGGGTTTGCTGACAATGGCGATGATGCAGATAAGGCTTTTGACTTTGAGGATGGAAAAGTATTTGAGAGGTCAAATAAGAAAAGGCCAGGAGTGGCTCCAGGGGATCGGACAGGAGGTAAGGCAAAACAAGCCTTTGGTAAAGGAAATAAACAAAAGAAAAGAGATGTCAAGAACTCTAGATTTGGTTTTGGAGGCAAAAAGGGGTTGAAAAAGCAGAATACAGCTGAGACCACGAATAATTATGGTAAATTCAATAAGGGTGCTGTTGCTGTAAACAAGAAGAGAAAGAGGTAAATGCAATGTTTTTTTGTTGTATTGAGGAAGTGATGTCTCGGACGAGCCAATGACCGAAACCTAGGAATTTTCATCTACTTTAATTTTACATTTGATGCATTTATGTTAACTGATAAGCTTATCGACAACTAAAGATTTCTTACAAATTTCTACTTCAATCTTTTTGACGTTTTGCTAAATGATAGTTTCTTTGTTGTAGTTATGAGTTAACCAGAGTAGAATATTTGGTGTACTGTTTTGTTTGTCTATTTATTTATTTTGTTTTAGATACTCATCCTGTTAATGTCAGAAACTAAGGATATCCTACCTACCATATGGATTCCATGGCCTATTGACTTCATTCATTGAGCAAGGTTAGCCTGGAGTTAGGTTGTCGAACTTTATTTCGGGTTTTGCGAGTTTAATAGAGTATTTAACAGTCGGTATTCATTGAGTGTTGATAATTTCAGTTAAATAGTCGTCTATATGGGGAGAGAGTCGGTTTGTTGATGGCAATTGATGTTGTTAATTGCAAAAAGTATGAGGCGATTAGTAGACCGTCCTTATGTTTTTGAGTGATGCATGCTGGAGATTTCAGGTCCTTTAAAAGTAACGTAATCCTTTGATCTTAAATGCATGCGATTTTAAGAGAACAATCTTTGTTTCACGCTGTCTCTACTCCGTAGGTGGGTCCCTCTGTGGTGCTTGATGAGAAACATGGTTTAAATAATAAGAAAAAGCAAAATAATAACTCGCTAGTTTGATGAGAGTATGAAGGGTCAAGAGCAGAATTAAAATTTATAATTTTTTTTCTTTTATTTTAGATTTTTTTTTTGTAATTTCTTGTGCTGTGTTTTTATTGAATTAGGTTTAAAGTCTTAGTTTAAAGTTAGTGAAGGTTGGTTTTGGTGAGAGAAATTCTTTATAAATTCCTTTGAAATTTTTATTTGATGTGATGAATCTGTATTGATCTTTCAATTTTGATTGTTAACTCTTCCATTTTTCATCTCCTTTTGCATAATTAATTTACCTTGTTCGTTTAGTTAAATTTGTCCGACGCCTTAGTACATTTATGGTGAATACATTCAAGAGTTTGAATCAAGATTGGAAGACAAGTGGACTGTGAGAAAAAAAAGGTGGAGACATTGGAGAAAAGAAAAAAGTTAGGATTAAGAGAGAAAAAAGTAAAAATGATATGGATTGGATGAGGGAAGTTATTCGAAAGCGAAAGTTATTGAGAGGAAAAAAAAAATCATACATAATAACATAACATAGATATATATACATATATATATATATATATATATATGTGTGTGTGTGTGTAATTTGTAAAATATAAATTATAGTTAAGCTAAATAACATATTATTATAATAAATCTTAATAAATAAAACATTTAAATTTATTTATTATTCTAGTATATTTATTTTATTATAAAAGTATTATAAAAAAATTATACTTTTATGTTTAATATATAATGTCATAAAATGTAAATAATATAATTATTCTAGTTTTTTATATGTAAACATAAATAATAATAATAAAATATTTCTAAATATAATACATTTGCATTCAATTATGAATTATTTATTTATTTAACATAATCAACTTTTATCATAATTAATTATCTTAAATATATATATATATAATAGACTACACTTGGCTTTCTTCCCAAATTCACTATAATATGAAAAGAAAGATTCTAATATAAAATTTATCTTGCATTTTATTATTTAACATCTCGTTTTTCAAACTTTGCAAATCTTGTGTTTTTATTGAGGAAAACAAAAACAATGACAAATATTGATAACGGGTTAAACCAAGTAAATAAAGTATGATAATTTCAAAGTTTAGTAATTGAACTTGATAACAAGTATCACGAGAGTAGTAGTAATAATATAAAAATGTATACATTGATAAAAAAACATAATTCATGATTTTGTAACATTAAAAATTGAAAGTATAATATCATTTTATATATTTTTAGTATTTAAATATACGCAAATTTAAATTAAACGTATAATTTTATTTGGGTTTAAATTTTAACAATTTAAATTAAATATCAGCAATGATAGTTCCGGTCAAAACCACTGATTCCTTCGCCAATTGGTAAATGTGATTAGTAGGGAAGACAAAATTTCAGTAACTTTAAACAAATTGAAATACATAATATTTTAAATATTTAAATAATTTGTAATATTTTTTTAATTTTTTAAATAAAATATACTTTTATTTTTATTTTTGAATCAAATAATTAAATTGTATTTTAAAAGTGTTTATTTTAAAATATAAATTTTAAAATTAAACTTTATAAAAAAAAATTACTCAAATTTAAATATTCAAATGATATTCAATAATTGATTTTTTTTCATCATACATGTGTATAAAAAAGAGTAAAATTTTAACTTTTTTCTTATTTTATTATTTTAATTATTTAAAACATGTTCTTGAAATTCTTAAATTTTTTTATTAATTTTTTGTGTAAACAACTTTATTTACTAAAAACATCTTAAATTATTAAATAATAAAATTTTTCTCGTAATTTTTCTCGTAATTTTTCTCATCTAATAGGTTTAAACCCTTTAGTTGTCCCTATTTACGTAGGTTTTTTTCCAGTTTGATCCTTTCTTATTAGAATCCTCAATTCAGTCTTTATAAGTGCTAATTTGAATCAATTGAGCCATTGTCGTTAAATTTAGTTAACGAGATTAAGTTTTTGCACAAGTAGTGTCAAATTTTTAAAACGTGGCATACTCAGAGTTGAATGCGTGAAATTTAGCAACTTTTTAAATTTTAATAATATGAATTTCTGAAATGGGATTTAGGGTTCATAGAAGAGGAAGAAGAAGCTACAAGTGGCAAAGAAGATGAAAGTAAATCTGTCATTAAATGGACAAAAGATGAGCAAAAGAACTTCATGGATCTGGGAAATTTAGAGCTGAAAAGGAACACGCAATTGGAGAATCTTATTGTAGAAGAAAAAAGGAGATTGATATCTGAGAAGAATCTAATAGACTTAGACTTTGCTAATATTCCCAGTAAAAACCCAACCCAGAAAAACCCAAACAGCATCCAGAGCACCACCGTGAATCTCTTCGCACGATCTCCTTCTTTCACTTGTAATTCCCAAAATCCTGAAAATGCAAAAAAAAAAAAAAAAAGAAAACCAAATCGCCACTCTCCCTGAAATCGCGAGTCTTCTCCTTCATCACCGCCGCACAACCCAGAATCGCATCAGCCTACATCGCGCCACCGCTTCCATGTTCTTCCTCCTCCAAAGATTTCGAAACCTACAAGGAAAGCAAAGAACCAAAAACAGATTCCTTAGTGTGTCCCAGTAGCAATGTCGCGCCATCAGCAACTGTGAGCAATTTTTCATTAGTTAGCCAAACCCACATCGCGGTAGTGAACCATCTCTCCTTCGCGGCGTAGAAGCAGGAACAATTTTCCCCAATTTGCTGAAATGCAATTGGGGTGGATTTGATCAACAACCACTTAATCTCCATCCCTTCGTCTGATCTACAACCACTTCTCAGATTTTTAATCCCATTCAATTTGATTGAATCCTAAATCCCATTTTAGAAATCCTAATATTATATTATTACATTCTACCAAAATTCCACGCAGGTCTAAACTATGTCACGTCACGTAAATAAAAACAATTAAAGTATTTAAACCCATTTCAGATACCAAAAGAGAAGACCTGAAACGTGAAAAGAAGGGAAATAAAATTAGTGTAGATGAGGAGCAGAGTAAGTAACACGTGTACATTTTCTTTAGAAGTATGCGATAATATCAGTGTAACATTGTGAGACTGTTAAATCCAGCCCAGTCTATAATGTTACTCATTATATAATCAGAAGTGAAAAAATAAATAATATTTCAGATGATCGACCATATTTTTGAGAATGTGAAGTTTAAGAATCTAGCAAATAATATTGGAAAATATTTTATAATCATTTCATCATTACTAATTAAAAAAATATTTTATAATTTTTATTTTCTACATATAAATATTCTATTATGATAATATTTTACTCTAAAAAATATTAAAACTAAATTAAGTTTTAAATACACAATATTTCATAAAATTATATCAAGAATCTACATATATTAATTAATTTTTTGTTTGTTTTATATTAATGATTTTGTTAATTATATAACTGTTTTGAGTGTGAAACTATCTTACCGAATACATCCACCTTTTGTTAATTAAAGATTCGTTAAAAGTGATGGGTCATAATGGCACAAAGAAAGTGAGAGGATGAGAAGATAAGAGTCAAGAGTCAAGCTGTGTTGATATTTGTCTGTTTTTCCATTCCAAGCTTTGCTGTTAACAATGGCGAAGATCACCCTTCATTCGGGATGGCTTGCAGCTAGCTCCACCCAGGTTCATTTCACAGGCACTCAACTCACCACCACGAACCCTCCCTCTCCTTCCAACCAACCCTGGATGGAAGCCATTGTCCCTGGAACGTAATCTCTCTCTCTCTTTTACTGTCGATGCAATGCATGCACATTCTGCTTTCTTCCTTCAACTCATTCTTAACTTCAAATCATGTTTAATCATTCACAGTGTTCTGGCAACCTTGGTGAAAAACAAAGTGGTGCCTGATCCTTTTTATGGACTAGGAAATGAGGCAATCTTCGATATTGCTGACTCTGGAAGAGAGTATTACACCTTCTGGTTCTTTACAACCTTCCAGTGTAAGCTGGTGAGAATTATTCTTTTCTCTCATATAACGCAATTTTATATTTCAAATTTCAGGAAGTGGGCTGTTAACTCGATTGAGCTTAATTCAAATATGATGATTTCTGGTTTGATTATTCTTTTCTTTTTTTGGAGTTTGATGGACATTGTCTTTACAGTCAGGGAATCAGCACTGTGATCTGAACTTCCGAGGAGTGAATTACTCTGCTGATGTTTATTTAAATGGGCACAAGATGGTACTTCCTAATGGAATGTTACGGAGACAATCTCTTGATGTCACTGATGTTGTTCATTCTGATGGTAGTAACCTGCTTGCGGTTCTTGTTCACCCTCCGGATCATCCTGGGAGCATTCCTCCACAGGGAGGACAAGGTGGTGATCACGAGGTCAGAAACTAAA